CACAGGAGTGGCTTTTGCAGCAGGAAGTGGCAGCTTAGCTACAGGACAGGTGAAAGTCAACCTGCTTGCTTGAAAACAAATAGATCCTCTACTAACTGTCAAAGGAAGAGGTGAGTTTGAGTGACAGGCACTGCATTCAGGACCTTTGCAATTGTCTAATGATTTGTACCCTCTTGTGTTTTAACTTGTAAGTGAAAGCCAATGTTGTGCTCAACAACTGTGTAGAGCTCATCTACAGAGTTAAAATGTAAACCAAAAGGCTCACACCTCCAGGGAGATCCTAGGAAAGAGCATGCTAAGCAATTTCAGAACTCCCCAGATCTCAAGGGAAATCCTCCTATGGCCACAGGGACTGGCATTGGACCACAGGTTCCAGCTCTCAGAAGGGTCTGTGCTAGTGTTGTGAGGCTCTTGAACAAAGACAGCACCTGGGTGCTATTCAGACTATAGGCTTAAAGTACCCAGGAGGACCCTAGCAGGGGGATTCTCTGACAGTATCCTGGCCTGGGAAGGATCCAAGACAGGGAAGTTGGGTATATATTCTGTCACAGAGCCCCAGAACAATTCATATGGAATAACGTTCAAAAAGAAACTAGCCAAGACATCTGGTATTTAGCTGCCTAGTTACATTTGATGACCTATTAAACTACAGTTCTAAATATTTTCCCTTCACAGTATGGCCAACTACAGAAGTTGGAAAAAAACAAACAAAACCTTGAGTCTGGCCCACCCCAGCTCAGAAGGGTTTTAAGATTCAGTTGTGCTTTTTGATCCATTTTCTGATGATCATACCTAGTAAGTCGTGATCTTAATCGGGTTGAGTTATGTAAACACTTATTGAGAAACCACCCCTGCCCTGGAGTTCTCAAACCAGTTCTCACTAAGCATAAAGCACAGCAGCATAAGCATATACTTTGTTGAGCCACAGTAAGAAATGGAGAAACATAATTAATCATGCACTACAAACGTCAAAATGTACTTCCATTGAGTTTTACTGTACCATATCAGCCTAAGGATTCTTTTAATAAAGCCCAGAAGCTAAACAGAAGTTATGCAGATTATATGCCCTACTAAAGTAATGCTATCCAGTATTACTATTATATTTTATACAGCTGCATCCACACAGTAACATTAGCAATAACTAGTGAACAAATACTGACTGTAGGCCAGGTCAAGGAGCTGTTGTTGCATGCCGATGTTGCTTCAAGCACACGTCGTTAGCAAAAGCAAAAAACCCCTCACACTCTCTTCGTTTTATTTTGTTTGGCTCGATTACCTTACCTTCTTGTGGTGCCTGCCTTTAGAAACAGTCAGATGGCCATTCCTTAATTAAGAGCACTCTGCTTATTATGCCAAGGTGCAGCTGCCTCATGAATATATTCCTACTGTCCTTTTTTCATCTTCTACAATATCCTGCTTTTCTCCTACAGCAGTAGCCAACTGGGTCTTCACTGGTATGTCTTTGGTTTCTTTTTATGTTACTCTCCCCAGGAATCCTCTGGTTTTACATCATTGTAGCGGTAACATACTCCCTCAAAACTGGCTGCAAGTGAAGTTAGGGTAGAAAAGTCTGTGTCAAACAGGAACAGGCTCCCCCCAGAAGTGGTACAAGTGATCCACCCTGATGATCTTCAAAAAACATCTTGACACCCATCTTGCTGGGATTATTTGAACCCAGCAGTCTTTACTGCCCACGTGTAGGGCCTGGATCTGATGATCTGTAAGGTCCCTTCTAGCCCCTAACAACTATGAAACTATTCTGCATTTCCTTTATATCTGAAGAGACAGCATTTAAATTTGTTCATATGTGCATCTAACCTAAATGTGTATTTTAATTATTTTAATTGGTGGTTAATCCCTACACATGTATGAAACCAGCCATAGGCTGACATTTCCTATCTCTGGCACCCAAATACTTCTAAAATGTAGAATCTTAAAATACAGATTTAGAGGTTTACTTCTGAGCAACCAAGTTGGGAACATCAACCAGACAGACAACATCAAATAATGATGCTAGGTTTCCTAAAAGAAAACTCTGCTAAACCATTTTTGTTACTTTTCCTGGTACAGATATTTATAATAGATTTTCATCAGTGCATTACTTAGAACAAATACAGATAAAAGGATTCTCCAGAACTGATCTTTCATTTGTTGTCATTTTCTGCTCTGTCCAGTAATGAAACTGTGAGACAATAAGTACGAATCAAGTGGTGAGAGAAGGTAAATGATAAATTTGTATATAAATCTAACTAACTGATGCCCAGCTGTAAAACTGGAGTCAGTATGGTCATCAATTATTTACTGAGCAGAGCAACATTTCCTTCCAGGAAGCTTTCTTCCAGTAAAGGTTTTTACAGTCATCTTATTTTCTATAAAGTATTCATTCAAGCCTTTCATTTTAGATCACTATTTTAACACACCTGCTCATGCACCTCACTTTAACCTCCGTCATCTGTTCAAAAGCTTCACCTTCCCATTATCATAAATTGACACTTCCAGAGAGATCATTTTTCCACCCCGGAAGCTGATCCTATTATCACAACGTGGAAGACAAAATCCCACAGTGGAAGCTTGCCTCCTCAAGTTCTCTGGTGAGTGTACACGCTTCCCAAGCTCATGCAGGATATACAAATATCAGCCTGCCTTTCTCAAGTTCTTAACAAAACTGGGAATACATTTAGACTTAAGTGGTTTTAGGTTAAACTACGCAAGTGATCACCTGTTATTTTGACTCCATACTTGGGTTTCCTGGAGAAAAGCTTACTTATGCTGGAACATTCAGATATTTATCCAGCCAAATACTTATAAGCCCTTACCCCTCTGAAAAGCAGCAATTCTAAGTTAGGTGTTCCTGCCAGCCACTCCAACACCCCACAAAGTCTAATCTACAGCTGGTCCCACCCTCTTTCTGACCACTTAAGATCTGCCTTCAGTAAAGGCTTTTCTACCTTTTTCTTCTTTAAAGTGGAGAGAAAAAGTGAGTTATAAAATCTTACAAATGTAGAGGCTACACAATAATACTAGCTGTAGTATTAGCCAAGATAAATTCTAGGCTTCCTTCTATGGTTCGCCTCCATGTAAGCAACACTAGAATTAGTTAACAACTTAACTTAGTGGAGACATACACAAAAGAGATGGTAAGTGATAGGAACCCCATTCTTCTGATCCACAGAACTGGGGAACTCTTCCCATGGCAGAACCAAAATCAGGCTCCTCCATCTCATGGCCAATAGAACAAGTGATGGAGGAAAGATTCCTGCTCAAAACGTGTATACTACTGAGCCCAGCTGGCATCGAAATGGGATAGAAGATTCCTTCCAGTGTGCTTATCCCAGGAATTCTACTCTTTGGCTTATGCGGGCCCAAGATCCCTTTCAGTAGGTTAGTTGCTCCTTTGGCCTGACCTTCCTTAGAGAATGAAGGTAACTGTACTGCCCTAAGAGACCTGGGGAATACAATCCTTTTATAGGACAATGCTACATCTACATACACCCTGACCCTTCAAATTCACTGGTGTCCAAGTGGAGCTGAACAGTAATTTTGTGTAGCCAAATGCATTTTGTAAATCTCAATTTATAGAGCTTCCTATTATCCTCTCTCTCCCCTCCAAGAATAAGAGCTTCAAGAACAGTTACCTGTTCCACCACAGAAGTTTCTCTCTTGGGAAACTGACTTCCTGGCAATGATACTACGCAGTAATATCATGCAGTTAGTAGTATGGCTTTTCCTCCCAGGCTCCCTTCAGGATGCAGAGCAAAAAAATCACTCTAGAAATCAAATTTGCACAATACTAAACATAGAGTGCTTCTCAAAGAATATTTAATACACCCAACTAGATATTATCTTCAGTTTGCAGACGAACACTCAATTCTAGGAGCTGAATGTTTCAATTTGGAAATGGAATATAGAGGTCCTTATGTCCAGCAGGGAGACAATGACCCAAAGGAACTTAAATCCAGAAAATCCAGAAGTGCAATTAAATTTGTACAACTAAACCTCCCTTATACAGCCTGAGCTCAGATGAATGAACTGCAATGTGGTGCATGTCCTTTTGTTCAATCAAAATATTAACCCTGTAATAATTTAGCTGTTGATAACGTATGATTTGAAGTTCAGAATTTAGGCTAAAAGCAGTTCATCTGAACAGCTTCCCAATCTCCACCTAATCTTATTAAATATGAATTGTTGTCTACACAAAATCCATTAGGTCTGAGGCAGAAGGCAAGACAGAGTAGCACTTGTGGCTTAGGAAATCCAAGTCTGACTTTGAATTACTGGTAGTCAGTACATAGCAACACGAGCAATAAAAAAAATGACACTTCTTTAGAGGGATTTGGGTCAACTAAATACTGTACCCAATTACATTACCAGTTTCTTTATTCTAGTTAAAAGTGTGTGTCACATGAAGCACCATATAGCAGGATGGAATATTACTCCCTATCACACATTCCTTTAGTCCTTTTTGTAATTCCAAAGATCTCTAAAGTAAGGCTGCCTTGTTTCACCACCTTATGGTTTTGCTCTAAATATTTGATGCCTTCTTTCAGACAGGTTTAATCCTTTGGGAGGGGAAATCAGAATAGATTGTTTCAAACTCCAGCAATGTTCCACACTATTCACAATTTAACTTGGACATGACTTGAAGATGTTCCAAGTATACATCGGCTGACTGAGCACTAACAAATGAAAATGCACGTATCTTGGCATATTTAACTGGAACAAAATGAGTGAATGTATTTTGGCTCTCCCTTATGGCCATAGTTTTTCCAGCGTCTGTACTATGTACTGGCGGACATTCATCTCTATACTTATTTCCCAGGTGAGGCATGTGTGCACTTACCATTTTTCCTTTGGAATAAAACATTTGCATTTCAGTCAGCAGACCTTTAGTGCTAAATTTTAGTCTTCAGATCTATAGCCACAAAGATTTCCCAAAGTTACCACTTAACACTGGGCAAAGTAATTATATAGCAATTCAATAGAGGGAATCATGCTCTTTGTTAAAAATAAGAGAGACTTTTTATTCAAAAAGGTCTAGACTTAATAAAACATCACACTTTTAACACTGACATATTAAGTATTGTATTTTACACATATAAATATATTACAAATTAATTTTTCAAGAAAAACGTCCATTATCCTCATAGCATTTTCCCACTGTTTTGGTCTCAGGCTATTTCACCGTCAGTTTTCAGCATCATTCATTCACCATCCATGGCAATCAAAAAATCAACTTTTTTGGTAATCCTGAAAAGTGTAAATTAATTATAATTTATATTGATACATGAAACTAAAAGGGCTCCAATCCTCCACTCAAGGAGTCATACAGTCCTAAGTACTACAAGTCTGTCCATTCTTGGACCTGGCTCATGCAACTGCTGGCTACAACAGTACATAAAGAACAGTCACCTACCAACTCTTCCCATATGCTCAATTGAAACATGCAATATAAAAAACAAAGTTTCTGTTAATTTCTTTGGACTCCTAGACAAATGTTCATATCATAGAGCCTTACATGAGAGAATATTCCTTTTACCACACATTTCTCCTACTATTTGACACACAAAGCTACAGGTTTAAAGTACAGCTGAATCTAGAAAGATGGGCAAGCTTCTGTATAACTAGAAAGTTCCCCAGACGGAGAGGGTAGCTGCTTTTATTTCACTCCTACAACTCCTTAAGGTCCAACTATATGACAAGTGTGACCTGCTAAAACATGGCCATTTTCTGAGGCAATCATTATAAGCATAATGGACAGGATTCAGTTACTCTGGCCATGTCCTGTAAATGAACACAGGCTGTTTTAAAAACATGGTTTACTCCTTTCAACCCTATGAATTTCTCCATGGAGATAGACATATGAAATGAACTAGAAGGCTGTATATACATTTCCCCCTATCTTTGCAATGAAAAAGTTGTAGTCTATTTATCTGCAATATAAAAATTTATTTTTTTGTTAAAAACTTATGCTGTCTGTTTTGCCAGCTCAGGGCTCCATTTGAAATGTAAACTGCAGATGTGTGTACTAGGAGAGGGAGGGAGGCTCTTGATTAAATGTTTTCTACCAGCAGAGAAGACAGACACTGACAGTATCCTAACACCAGTGATGCCACACAAGTGACTGATCAAGAATAAGCATTAGCAAAATCAGTCAAAGAAATGGCATATGGTTAACCCTTCTTGTAGAGATCACCTGCACAGAAGGGTAACCTTTGGAAAAGTCCATTACTAGGTAACATTGGTTCTTCAAAAGCACTGCCCCTGTCTATCTAAAATTTGTGTGATGCAACCCCTAGAGCTACTGAACTTTATTAACTCCTGGTAAGTAGTGCCAACTGGGGTTGCACAAGCACTTCTCTGTCCACAGCATTAAGTTTACGTTCTTGTATAGCCCTGAAGCCTTAACCACTACAATCTCTTCTGCTAAGTTTCAGGCTCATGAAAATAGAGCTGTTCAGAGAAGTAGTGTGATGCAGGAGGAGCACAGCCCAAAGAACTTCAATTACTGTAGAAAACATTTGTCATCTTTGAAAGGGCTTTTGTGTTTTCCCACGTGACAATTCAGGAAGCATTTCAAGACTTGACAAAGGTGAACTCAGGACCTACTTAAGCAAGAACTGGAGAACTGCACTCCCAAAACAGCGAGATCCAGTTAATTTGAAAGGGTAGTGGGGAACACGAGTGACTTTCAGGTGCCAGCGCTGCAGATTTTTACAACAGCAGTAACACTGCAGGATGCGATACTTACTTCTGTCAGCTTAGACAAGGCATAACAGAATTTAAAACAGGCAATCCAATACGCTAGGAGGAGAGGCATTCCAAGAAAGTGACATTCCCTTTTACATTGATCCCCAAAGACCTCAAGTCTTCCCGATCTTCTAAATGTCTTAGTCCTAGCCAAAGAAACTCAATCTCTCTTGGCATGTAGTATTCTAGTTAAATTTCTCATGGGGAAGATGGAGGCTTTGAGAAAACCAATGAACTGAAATGTCAATCAGTTTAGATGAACTCAGATGCCATTTCTGATATACAGTTTAGCTACACAAAAGAAAAACTTGGGAGTCTTTGGGTTTGATAATTGACAAAACTGGAAGGCATCTTAGGTGAACACCCTTTGAATGGTCTTTCTTCTGCATTTGTGGATAGTTGGAGTAAGCCCTATGGCACTGTCACCTTCCTATATTGGAGATGGTGCCAAAAAGACATGTTTGCATCAGTCTTTTTTTTTCAGGACCATCTTCCACGGGAATGTCTGCATTGGTTTATTCCAACAGAACAACTTTCTTTACTATTAAAAAAAACCAAAACAACTTTGGTATAGGTGCCAATAGCTGCCTGGGTGGTGTTAGCTCTTTGGAAGCTGGGAAAACTCTTACTGCCAGTGAAAAAGTACCATGCTGGCAGGTTTCAAAGCCTGCCTCAGCACTGAAAATCGTAGTGTCAGGAGGCTTGCTTTTCAGAGCAACTAGATTAATCAGAGGGCCTAAGTGTAGTACCTAGCACACAGACTAGGATTTCCTTGATTTATCTGTTTATGAAGCTAATCCATTCAGCCCCTTATATCAGATTAGCCATCTGACTTTATAATCTAGGTGCCTAGCTTTTACTGCCCCTTCTGTAAGGGGCAGTTAAGCCTATGCTGTGGTGGTGCAGTATTGAAGTGTGAAGGGCCAATGGGCAGGGCAACAAACCCAAAGAATGGGCTTCCCTCATGTAGGGCCAAGAACAGGGATGTGCTTACATTTACCTTAATGCAGAGCTTTAGAAGCCTGACTAAATAAAGGCTTTAAACATTATAAGCCTGTTCCAAACAGGCACCCACTAAAACCTTAAAAAAGTGGTTAAGCCCTGTCCCTCTAAAAGCATTTTGGACACAGGGGCAAGATTCAGCAAGACTACACTTGACCCAGAAAAGGAAGGAAATAATGTGGATGAGCCCATCATCTCTGCTTTAAACATTCAGGTACCATAAAGCTGCACTCATACAGCTCTGATAGTCACTGGTGTCCAGAGGGTTCAGAAAGTACAGGAGCAATGAGAAGACATTTCATGAAGAGGGAAAAAAACCCTATAATGTAGAGGCCAAAGAACCACCTAAGAGAAAGCTGAGGAAAGTAACTCCTCTAAAAGAAAAATCAAAGGTGTGTAGATCAGCATTCTAGTGCCTCTCAGAATCCTAAAACTGACTTCACTTGCCACTTCAAGTATAAGTGTCATTAATTAACAGCATTTGTATAGAAAGGGGAATGCTCAATTAAAACTCAAAACCCCTAGAGCCAGGTATTTGTTTCATAAGAGCAATAGTGGCAAGCCTTTATTTTCCTCCAAGGTCTACTCATCTCATTCCCTTCCTAAGGCATGTTCAAAAGACTGTCACAGCAAAGTTCGTAATGCCCAATAACTACCTAATACCTATTGTATAGCTATGCCTAATGGTAAATCAATTCTAGGATGGAATGCATTAAGTATTATAGTATAGATTTAGATATTGATAAAATCAGCGTGAGGAGTCTGGGAACCTGTAAAACAAGATTGTCCTTTTAATGAATCACCTCTTGTAAAGAGCAATACTACAAACAAATCATCAACGGGTTTCAGCTGGTGCTACGGGCTCAGAGATTTGACCAACTGGGACAGTAATATTTTGGAGATGGATGCCTGTCAGGAAGCCTCAGGTAGAGACACTCAAAAGGACTTTGACTCCCCTGAAGGCAGGTGGGCAGGTGAGGGAGAAGAGGGAACAGGCACTTTGTGGAGCATCCTGGGGCTGGGGGGTGACAGTTAGGATGGGGCTCCCTGTAAGGAGTAGTGGACTGGAGGTCCCTGGTGGGGAGAGCTAGCTGTGACCAAGGGGAGGCTGACCCTGAGGGATTTACACAAAAACATGAGGTGGTAGTCACTTTTTCTTTCCATGTAATAAATCCTCCCCCCCACCATTATTTGACTGAAGGGCCTGTGATAAATTGTGACTTCTGGGGAAATTACTAACATGAGCATACTTAACTGGTGGAGTGAGGCATCAATAAATGTACACAACACAGGGTGCATCTCTGGTAGCACCCGACACCCCAGGGTTTTGTCACAATGCCTATACACAAATCTGATTTCTTCAAAATACCACTAGAATAGTCAGCTTGCATCTTTGGTTTAGAAAACTGAAACTGTGATATTTAAGGAAGTATTACCTTGATCTATTCCATCTGTTCGCTTCCTTTTTAAATTTACAAGTGGATTCTGTTGCTCCTTTAAGGCTTCTGCAGGACAGTTAGGTCTTGGCAACTGACTTCCTGGAGTTGGTCCTGGTCGGTTACTAAAATACTTCTGTTTCAATGCCTAATAGGTCATCATACAATATAGATGGGGAGATAATTAGTGCATATAGAAATAATCTGAAGCTACAGATTTTCCTTTTTGTCCCAAAACATTTTTCATTGTGCTTTCACATTTTTTAAAGTACCGTTATACGCAAGAGTGGCTTGAGAATTCAAGATTGAATTCTCTGCAACTTCCATCAGTTTACAAACGAAAGAGATAATTATGTGCCAATATCGGTATTAATGATGCCTGAAGTCTTCAACAAAAATCCAGCTCCCTTGTAATAGATGCTGTACACAGTAAAAGATCCCAGTTTTTAATAGACAAGATGGATAAGAGGCAGAAGGAAAAGCTAGGGAATGGAGGGGTCAAGTGATCTGTCCAAGATCACACTTGAAATCTTTGGATTAACAAAATTAGGTTCTGTTCTACTTTTCGCTTCCACTAGGAAATAAAGCTATGCTGTATTAGCTATTCAGCAACAACTGCCAATTCATGTGCATGTGGCCAGCAGCCCGCGGTGCAAGGTAGTTTATCCCACCCCACTTCATCATCTTGCACATACTGAAGGGTAAGAGCACACATACATGCTTTTCTTTGATAATTGCCTACTGCTGCAAGTTCACATACTAGCTTGCCTCATAGGAACTTGCTTGAATGACCATAGCCGGGGAAAAGCTTGTTAGAGAGTAAATAGAAGACCTGTGCACGTACACACACAGTCAGTTTTACTCCCTGTTTTAAAAGCAGATTAGAGCTCAATAGGTTCCATAAACTTTAGTGAAGGAAAAACAAAAAAGAACTTGAGCTGCCAGAAAAATCACTGCTGTTGCTTACACCAATTACAATATTCAGAGTCTGCTATAAATCAAGTCACATTTGGAAGAGGCCAGTCATGTTTTAAGTGCAGGTTCTTTCTACTTGAAAATGTGTTGTGAATTTAATTATTCTCTTTCTACTGAACAATGCTAAAAAAATAAGGAGTTTAGCAAAAAAGCTATTTCCGCCTGAACTAGACTAGACACCAAATGCATAATAAAACTAAGTAGCTTGGAGTGTATATCAAGAAATGTATATTAACAAATGGTTACCAAGAAGCAGGTAATGCTATCAAAACTGTTTTTATCAGTTTAGCTAAGGATTCCAGAGCAAAACCCCCCAAAAGGATCAAAAGTTTCAGTAAAAACTAGCAAATAAATATTCATGTGATTTTAAAAATCAAAAACCTCCTAGTAAAATAAGAAATGGAAAGTCCTGCATTGAGACATGAAACGTTCAGAGTTTACTAGGTAACTGGATGTGAAGGAAGAATGCGCTGAAAGTCTCACAATTTAAAAAACCATACACCTTTCTTCCCATATCTCTAATCCAGATTGGTGAGGAAAATTTTCAAAATTCAAACCTTGTACTGCTATTTGTGCCTTTGAAAGTTTCTTCTGCAGTATTTGAAAATGTAGTTCTTACAGAATAGTGGAAATAGCAGCTGGTGCTTGCATGTACCTCAAACTCAGATTATCACTCAACATATACAAAACATTTAAATGATGTTAACAGTAACTACAGGTCTTATAAATTACAAAAAAGCTAGTTTACAATACCTGAGTAGCTGTGACCCTAATACAAGGATTAAATGTGAATAAACCTTGTAGAAGATCTAGCAAGTCATCACCAGCTGCACTGAAGATATGCTGAAGCGGTGTTCCAGGGAAACTCTTAAATGTTACATAATCTGGAAGGCTTGTCATACCCTAAAAAACAAAAACAAACTGATTTTCAGTCAAGGGCTTGGGCCCCCTATTGAAGAGACTCTCACAGTAGACACAACCAACAAAAAAAGACATCTTAAAAAGCATAGTGTTAGTTTGAAATCTGTCTGTGTAATAACTACTGAAATGAGTGCCAAGAACTAATTTGTTTTACAGTTATCTATTCCTTTGCTAAAGGATTTCTCCTCCTATTGCTCAATTAAAGAAACAAAGCAGGGGAAACTAAATGATTATAGACAGGAAAGCAGTGATGCTAATCAGCAAGGCAGTGGCACTATAGTACAGTGACATTAACCATCAGTGATGCAAGTGTGAAGCCCTACCAGTTTAAGTCACTCTACTTCAGGTGTACAGATCCCAGGAGTAACCAGATACAAACAAACGGTAGAGCAGTGCAAAGTGGTTCATCTGCAAGGTGCCACTCAGCTCTACCTTTTGTCTGATTGCAGACCAACACAGCTAGCCATCCCCTGTACACAGGTGTACGGGTGACATGTCTGTAGCTTTTATTGATTACCTCAAGGGACAGCCATTTGCTCCATGCAAATAGGTTATGAGAGTACTCCATGCCACCTAGTGGCAAGGTGCCATTGTAGCTATTACTTTCCTGTTGCCAGTAGGCACCGTAACAGCACCTTTTCTAAAGGATGTAAATTAGACAGCTTCTTCCTGTTGGAACTGGATTTATAACCCAGATACCTTGTTCTGGGTGGACCCAAACCTCAGACTGATCATGACCTTTCCATGTGATAATAGGTGAGTTTTACTGATACACAGTGATGACAGATCAGAATAATGCAAACAATTCTATGTCTACCAGTCCTAGAGCTGCAGAGTCAAGGTACATCTGGCCAGTATGTGAGCTTCACACTGAGGTTCTCTCTTGAATGTCAGATGTCAGCAGCCTAGAGGTTGGAGGCCAAGACACCACCACCTCCCAGTGGGGTGGATGAGATGGGCAAGTGGTATGCCCTCTGTCTATGGTGCCTTGGGTTCCCCTCTCAGGGACCCTGTTGCTCTGAAATACCTTATTTTATATTCTTTTCCCCTCCTGATGACTCTTAATCTGTGGCCATCATTGACTGTCTTTCTGTGGTCGTCATACTGTCCATGTTCTGTCCTATCAGTATATTCCTTCATTTCACAAGCCATCACATACACACATCCTAATTTGGGCTTTCCCCAGTGTCTTTCGAATTTGACCTGTTCCAAAGGCTCTCAGTTGGGCACTGTGACCTGGTGCCACCTTATCTCATGTTATGGAACAGTGTGGTACATCTCTACAATTTCCCAGCCTGTGCATCTATTCCCATCTGCCTTGAAGGCTGTGAAACTGTACGACAACCAGGCTTTTAGAAATCACTTAACTCTTGCTGTTACACTGGACCATTATTCTAATGCATATCTACTTTACCTATATGCCAATTCCCAAAAGCAAGCCTCTAAATACCATTTTCTAGCCATCACTTCCAGAGGACTGGGGTACTGGGTTGCCACCCACAGAGGGGCTAGGGTGCAAGCAGTGGCCCATAATAGTAAAAGACTGCCAACTGCAGGGTAGATTACAATGGGCCATAACCTACTTGATAACCACTAATCTGTCTATATATTACACTCCATTTTGAATGATCTTGCTCTTCCACTTACCTGGTGGTCCTTTCTATTGCATGCCTCTCTTCTGTTAGCTCACTGATGAGGTCTCTTGCATCATATTTTTATTTACATACGGAGTTTTGCACCCAGGCTTTTGTTCTACTTGCTATACAGTCTGGGTTGCATCTGCTTTTTCTTCCCCCCCCTCAGAGACCTGAGGATGGATATTTGTACTTAAAAACTTGGCTAAGTCTATCCCAATTCTGCAGATGGTTCAGTAAAAGATATCACCAGCCTCCCTCCTGTATCCATGCTCCCCTACTCCCACTGTCAAGCCCTTCTGCAAGGAGGCAAGCAGTGTAATAAATTAGCTTTTTTAAAATGGGATGCTGTTCGATTCACAAATGTTACGGAGATGTACCCCGAGTCTAATGAAGGGTACCTTGATTTGAAAAAGGTTGAGAACCTTTTTAGAAGGTTTACAAATCTGTACATTCATCTTAATACTTTACTTCTGTAGTGACCAGACACCTTAGAAACCAGAGTTCTTCCTCAACCAGGCTAATTTTTCACTATGCACCAAGAACACAAGATTACTATAAGAATTTTCAGACATTTCCTGTTGAACCATGGATAAAGGCGATCGGAGTGTAAAACTATTCTAATTTTGAATGCATTTGTAAATGCCTAAACATTTTTTTTAGTTATAGCACAGAAGTTGACCAAGCATCTAAAAAACCCCACTAAATTGTTGTTACTTCATGTTAGCACATAGCTATCTCCGCACGATGAAAGCATTATCACTGAAGAGGTTTTACTCATGTTTCACTCTTACCTGCTACCGTTTTAGCATCTGGTAACATCAGATTCATAAAGCGCACACACTTTGGAAACCCCTCTCTCTTTTGAACTTTGGTTTCTAAATTCAACCAATGTTGGGATTTTTTGGAAACAGTTCCAAATATCCTGACATCTTTAAATTTAGTCCCAATAGGTACTGATGTATCAAACCATGTTGAATGTTAAGTGAGGGACATACAGGCCACTGCTCTTCTGATGGAGTGCCCAATGTTTCAAATATTCTCGTCAGCTGATCAAGATCAGAGTCTCCTGGCAAAAATGGGACCTATAATGAAAACAAAATGCAAAACATAACAGCAGTTCAAATCCAAAGATTTAATGAGCTTTTGAACTTAGGAACTGACTCCAATTTTCTCTTTAGAAAAGTACTGCTTTGGGATATTACACTTTAGATACCAATTGCTCAGGAGATGTGCACTAGTAGAATGCTTGGGGCTTCTCAGTAATGTCAAAATAGACTGTGAAGGCACTCTGATTCAGAGCAAGACAACATTAACCTTAGAACTAGGGTTTTCATTATGAAGCCAAGTAATCATGGCTCACATTCTGGCTTCCATTCTGTTTCTTGTAAATGAAACAGAATGGAAGAAGTGTACCTTTATGCTAAGGACCTTGTATACCTTGCTTAGGAGGGTCAAGTGTTGTAGCCGTGATGTTCCAGGAAATGTAATAAGTGAGGCCTGACAAAGGGCAAATTGTGTCCAAAAGCTTGTCTACTATTTTCCCCAACTATACAGTTGGCCCAATACAAGATATCATCAAAAAACCTTGCTTCCCACTTAGTAATTGAAGTCTGAGGAATTTTTAAAATGGGCAGTCCCTCTGGGATGTACTACTTTCTGTGGGGGTGGTGCTTTAAGAAGGCCAGATGAGCAGTGTGAAGTCCACCTAATGAAGGTAAAGAGCATCTCTACTCATAGCCTTGCTGACCAAGGGAGGAAGACCTAGGTTAAATGGAGGATAGAGACAAATGCCCGCAAATTAGTTAAAAGCAAGATGACCTAGGTGAAGAATTAAGTAGTCACAGGCAGAAATTTAGGAAATGTTAACAAGATAAAACAGAAATCAAGCTAGTCACCTAAGAAACCAAGTAGTGTATGGAGTATGTCTAAAGAACTAGAGTACATACACTAAATTATGATCTAACTGGGATAAGACTTGATTCATGTGACTCGAATATTGACATGGAAAGGAACAAGCTTGTTCAAGGAGGATAGGTAGGGAGAAAGATAGCATCATTGCCTTATGTATTAAGGTAACTTGTTCTTGGGTTCAAAGCAAACATAATTAGACCTTGTAAAAGTCTCTCTGTTCAGGTAAAAAGTGAAAAAGGGCAGGGGGGAGGGAAGCAAGGTGTCATGGTGAACATCTGCTTTAGACCACCAAACCAGGAAGAGGTGAACAGTCTTTTTAAAGCAGCTAACCAAAGTATCCAAATCACAAGATCTAGTGCTTTAACTTGATATTTTCTGGGAGGATACAACACTGTACTAAGTTCTTAGATTGTGCCAAAAACTCCCCCAGACAGATGGTGGAGAAACCAGCTAAGGGAAGCTCTTCTTGATCTATTTCAGATAGGGAAGAAGTGATTGAAAATTTTCCAAAAATAAAATAAAAATACAAATAAAAAGAGGGGAGGTAACTTAGCTGAAACTGACCATGAAATGAACTCAGGAACCTAAGGAAAGGGAGAGAGAAAAACAAAAGAATAGAAAACACCTTGGACTTCAGAAAAGCAGACAAAGAAAAAAAAAAAAAATGAAAAAAAAGGAACCACTCCTCTCCAACAGGGACAATCCTGACTTGAGCAGGAGGTTGGGCTAAGTAACCTCTTGACCCGACTCTCCAGTCCTATTTTCCACAATTCCAACTCTCAAAATTAATGGAGAGAGGGGAAAACTCGTATCAGAAGTCAGCTATATTTTGAATTCAGTACTTAAATACATTGCAATTAATTTTTTTGGATGATATTGTTTCCACTTCAGGAAAAGGGGCGTACTGCATCATTGGTGTAGAAAATGCCTATCCAGCATCTTGAGGTCTAACCATGTTAGAAATGAAAGAAGGAATATTTGCTTTATTTGCCATTCCCCTTTGAGGGCAGGAGTGGAAAGGACTAACTGTGTTAATACTGCTTCTAGTCCTTCAGATTTAAGTTGTGGATTGACTAGCAGAGGGTAGGGGAGGGGAGTCAGTTCAGAACAAATATCACCAACAGTTAGTGTCATGAAAGCCATCACAAATTCATCCATAAAACTTGTAAAGCTTCCATAAAAGTGAAAGATAGCATATAACTGATTAAATAGAATGACAAAAATAATTTTGGATAAAAAAAACTGAGCAATAGAACACAGGAGCAATAAGTGCTCTGTAGTACGTAATCCCGTGTTATACAAATGCAACAGGATTGGATGATTTGGGACTCCCTCAGTTGAAAATTCTACCCCTTCCCTTCATATCACTTTCCTGATGCTTATCCCATTTCAAGAGAGTTTGGCTTTTTGCACAGAAATCGAGAATTGTATTCCTCTATACCTTTCTTCCAAAGAACAGCATTTTAAAGAAGCCCACTTAGCTGAGTCAGTGTCTAGCAGACAGGAGCAATGTGACCCACCAAAGGTCCATACACTGCATTTGAGAACAGGCACAATGGAAGTTGGGTAAGTGTTAACATTAAACCTTATTCTACAGCAAATGGAAAAGTTAGTATTTTAGTCTAAAATTCCTAGACATTATTTTCTAGTGGAAAGGGAACTGTGTAATAATTTTGTGGCTGGTTCCCACTGCAGCTAAAATTGAACATTTTACCAGTGCCAATCAGCTGATGGGCATTCTCAGTCTTGGGAGCATGCTGGAGCCTTGTATGGCTCCAGTAATCTCCTGTGGATAGGAGCTGCTGGGCAGCTGATAGGTGCTCCCAGCTGCAGGCTCCAGTGCATCCCTGCAGCTGGAAGCATCCATCAGCTGACTGGTGCTCCAAACATGGGCACATAAGGCAGCCAGCTTACTACTCACCAGTGCAGGGGGAGCCCAAGAGCATGATCCCAGGCTCTCCCAATACCAGCAATAGAGCACAATTGGGATCTGATCCCCAATTTCACCTCCTGCCATGCACATGTGGCATGGCAGGAGACATGATCATTGGGATTGCAGATCAGATCCCATTGTGCCTTTGACTGAACACCTGGTCAGCGACCTAAATGACCTCCTGAAGTCTCTCCATCTCTACTTGCTAGTACTCTATCATGGGTTATAAGTGTCAGTGTTTAAAATTCAAAACAGGATGAAAGTAAATATAAACTATGCATGAAATCTGCAGTGTAGTAGAGACTCATATGCAAAATGTTTGTCTTCAGGGCTTACCCTTAGGAGCAATTCTGCCAAAATACAGCCAACAGCCCACATATCAACACCTACGCCATACATTCGAGCACCAAACAGCAGCTCCGGTGCTCGATACCATCTGAAAAGCATATCAGAAAGCTGTTAAGATAATTCATTTATTTGCACTGCAGTTATATACAACACTTTAAACTAGCAGGAGTGTTACAAAATTTTTTAAAAAGTTATTGCATCCTCCCTTGGGCATTTATCCATTTAATGCCTGCAAAAAGAAAACTCTTTTTGTTTTTTAAGACTGCTGAACATCCTATACAATATTCCCCTACTTCAAAAAGGCATCTAACTCCGAATGAATCTTCAGTTTTAATCTGCACTTAGGCAAGCAACTTTACTGTAAATCTGAGGAGGCAAAAAATGTAACTATCAAAATAAAACACTTGTTAACCAAAACTCAAGAAACACAACTCAGTCCATCGTCCAGAAGCCTAAATGTGACAATGAAAGATCAAAAGTGCTGAACTGAGATTATTCTTGTGTAGAACAAATCCTAGCAGCAATGACTGATGCCAAGCAACAGGTATCACTCCCTAAAACCAGTTTACCTTATACACAAAGATATGACATCTTAATAAAATTCCACTTGGAGTGATGAATGCCCTTGAGAACACTAATTTCTTTTCTTCCATTATGCAAAAGACGTGCATTGTAAACCTCAGCTTGTTTCATCTGCTAGCCAACAACATTTTTAACAAGTCCCAGCTATTCATATTACAATCATAGAAAGAATCATAGAAAATTAGGGTTGGAAGGGATCTCAGGAGGTCATCTAGTCCAACCCCCTGCTCAAAGCAGGACCAACCTCAACTAGATCATCCCAGCCAATGCTTTGTCTAGCCAGGTTTTGAAAACCCCTAAGGATGGAGCTTCCACCACCTTTCTGGATAACCTCTTCCAGTATTTTACTACCCTCCTAGTGAGAAAATTCTTCCTAATATCCATCCTAAATTTCCCTTGCTGAAACTTGAGACCGTTGCTCCTTGTTCTGTCATCTCCCACCACTGAGAATAGTCTAGCTCCATCCTCTTTTGAACCCCAGTTCAGGTACTTGAAGACTGCTATGAAGGCTCTTCTCCTCTAGACTAAATAAGCCCAGTTCCCACAGTCTTTCCTCAGAAGTCACGTCCCCAAGCCCCCTCACTATTTTTGTCGCCCTCTGCTGGACTCTCTCCAATTTGTCCACATCCTTTTTGTAGCAGGGGGAAAAAATCTTCTGGTACAAAAATAGATTGCTCAAGCTCAATTTCTACTTTGAGAAACATGTGACACTTAAAGTTACCAAACCTAAATGTTAATCAAGACTTTTAAGATTAAAAATGCTAGTCATGGCAAATAATGCCTGTAATATACATGATCTGAGCCAAAAGGCTGAGAAGCCTGTAATAACACCACGCTGTTTTAGAAATTAAGGGTTTTGCATACTGCAAGATGAGACTTACTAAGCATGTGTACATAATATCTGTATATCAGACACATGGAAGATATTGAATTTTAACTGTTTTTTAAAATGAAATCTTCCTAATTTTAGAAGGAGGAAAACATGAGACCCTGCTCCTGCCTTTGGTTCCAGGTAATTTGCATTATCAGAGCCCAGAGATACCTCACCACAAATTCCTGTCCAGAAGAGCATTCCATCCTTTTACTCTTCTATGAAATATGAAACCTCATAACTAGGGCTGTGCTAATATTTGGGTGCCGATTTGATTCAGAGGGGATTTGGCCCGATTCAGCAGCTGAATCTCCGAATTGAATCAGGAGACCAATAAAAAAAAAGTCTGAATCGATTTGGAAAAGATTCGGAGAACTTCAGAGATTCGGACAGTCCCTGCTTGCCACCGCAGGGAGCTGGACCCAGACTCCACATCAGTAAGTAGGGAGTGGAAGGGAGGCGGAGGGGCTGGAGGAGGGGACCATGGGGGGGACCCCTGCCTACTCCCCAAGCCCCCCTAAGCACCCCCCAACCCCTGTCCACTCTCCCAGCCCCATCAATGGCTGCCCTACTTGGCCCAAGCTCCTGGTTCTTGAAAAAAAGCCCCACACGCACCAGCCGCTGCAGTGGCCATTGGGACAGAGCCCCCCATGCAGCATGGGGCAGCAGGGATTGCGCCCCCACCCTGGCAACAGCAGGTGAGTGTGGGGCTTTAAAAAAAGAGCCGGGAGGCTGGGAATGGGGCCTGTCCAATTCGGAAGCAGCTATATCTCCAAATCAGATTCGGCTGAATCCATTCAGGACAGTGATTCAAATCACCAAATCAAATCACTGTCCCATGAATCGGCCAAATCCAAAACGAATACTAGCCGCTTCGCACAGGCCTAATCATAACCAGAAGGAAATATGACTGCATCCTGTTTGCCACAAAACAACTTCGAGGTACACAGACTATTCCAACCTCTCTCTGAGCCTAACCTGCATAAAATGAACTGTTCCAAACAGAAGATTACACCACACCTTCAACTCTCCTATGACATATGAACTTTCATTTCTACCTAGAAGACCTTTTACAATCTTTCCTCCTATGCCTGAAGAAGGGAGTGTGCGCCTGAGAGCTTGCAAGTAAAGATTTTTTTTGCAAAAATCTAGTTGGTCTAATAAAAGATATCACCACCTCTACTACAAGTTCCGATTACATAATTCCTTGCATTTTAAGAGACAGAAATACATCTATAAAATATTCTGGAAAAAAATGTATTCTAGGCAACTCTCTGAAAAGGAATAAAAACAAACAAACAAAAAAAACCTTACAGATCACTGAGGCCCAGCTTTAACAGCAATTATTACCACATGTATATAAAGTTAGCATCCAACTTTTGCGCATAGCTGATTTTGCAACATGTTTCCAAGAACTAAGCAGGCAGAAAGCTTTATTTTTTACCTTGTTACTACCTGATGTGTGTAGACTCTATTGGGGCTTCCAAAAGATTTTGCCAAGCCAAAATCAGCCAGCTTGAGAACCCCATTTTCATCTAGTAACAAGTTGTTTGGTTTGAGATCCTATCGAGAAAGAAAAGACACTTAATCCTCTAACTTTATCAATGAAAACATGACAAATGAGCTCCTATGGCACTTATTCTAGCATAAGTATTTCCACCCTTCTTAGAAAGCCCGCATGGAAATAACGTTACACCACACATCTGGAGGATGCCTACAGATAAAGTTTTGCTATGTGAGCCGTGATGTTCCAAAAACTTTTTTTGTTTGGTTAAAAAGCTCACTTGAGGGTGACCACGTCTTTGCTGCCATGGTGCTGCACTGACATCCTGCACCATAGCACATGAGTTACATAAAAATTGGTATTTAATACACCGATTAGGAAGCGATGCACTCTTTAGGATTTTTATATAAAAAAAGTGAACATTTAAGAACATTAGCCCCACCATCCAGGAAACTAGCTCCATTCATTAGGCTATTTCATTACTATAAATTGATATTTTTAAGTTCAGAACAGTCAAAATAAAGTTATGGTCAACATATTTAAAGAAATATTACAAGGGTCACCAACCTACAGTTTAGGAATCACCAAGCTATCTATTTCATCCAGGTCATGAAGCAGTGGCAGTTGGTAAGGGAAGTGCCAATGGCAGGCAGGTCACAAGTGCAGCAGTAGCAATTTTTTTTTTTGTTTGGGGGGGGGGGGGGGGGGGGGTGTGGCAAGGGAAGGGGGTGAAGTAGCAATGTATCACAAAACTGTCTCTAACCCCAGCTGCAATAAATTGCCTGGCTGTTGCTAAAAGTTTGCTGGCCCTTGAGCTATTTCATAATTCTAATGTATATCATAATAATGTACTTTAGAAATGGAAGTTTCCCCATAAGTAAATTTAACATCCTCTGTCCTACCTGTACAGTGATTTATTAGCATAGAGTTGTTGACATTTCTCCATACAAGCAACTACTAAAGGTTTTTATACAACACGTGGGTTTCGGGTACAATGAAGTTTTGGACCTCATAAAGAGCAAAATCTTAGCATTTTCTAACAGGGCATAGTTTCTTTCAGATACTTCAGAGTATACTTACCCTGTGTAGAATCCAGTGTTGATGCAAGTATTCTAAGCCCTGAAGTGTCATCAGCATGTATGCTTTGATGTGAGATGGAGTCAGCACAATACTAGTATCCTTAATTATAACCTGTGAAATATGTTAGATTGTTACTAAAAGTTTCCTATGCAACACTACCTTATTATAGTTTTCTCAGATCAAAAGTAATTTTGTACTTAAAGTGCTGAATGTTACATAATTAGGGACCTACCTAAATCATGGTGGAAGTTAAAGGTGCCGCTGCGCAGTAAATCTCGCTCTTTTTATTTTGTCCCCCCTCCCCAACAAGTGGCTGAGAAACAAAAACCACAACATTAATTGTGTCTCAGCCACTTGGTGGGGGTGGCTGGAGGGTGGGGGGAGGGGGCGGGAAGATGGGAGCGCATGACGAAAAGTGAGATTAAAAGGTGCTGCATCACTGCAAACTTCTGCCATAATTTAGGTAGATCCCTATACATAATACCACTCTTAAAAAGATTCCATATCACTGTCTTTTTTCAAGTGGTAGAAATTCTTACTAATTTCTTCAAAAAGTTACTTGGCCACATTGGATGATTGAGAATGAAATGGAGAGAGCACAGATATCCAAGACACCCTATGTTAAACTGCTTGACTCCTCCTTCTCATCTTCTCTATCTGCCTAATCATAAAGATTGGCATGTCATCTCAATACTTCCAGCTAGTAATCTCAGAAATCAAAGTGCTTTTCTTTGGGTAAGAGAATATGCTAGATCCCAACCAACTCTAAGATCTCTACAAAATGATTTCAAGTATATCTCCATAGAAATCCTCATTAGTGTGTTCATTTGCTCCTGTCTGAACTATATGAAATTCATCATTCCTATAAGGCAGGGGTGGGCAAAATGTGGCTTGCGGGCTGGATGAGGCTCACCAGGCCATTCTATCTGGTCTGCGAGGCCCCTAAACTTTTAGAAAATTAATAATTATCTGCCCCTGGCTGCCTGTCATGCGGCCCTCAATGGCTTGCCAAAACTCAGTAAGTGGCCCTCCACCCGAAATAATTGCCCACCCCTGCTATAAGGCCTCCATGAGACTAGCCTTTGTACAACACAAATCCCACTTCATGCATACAAGTATGACCATTTTACTGCCAGTTCAAACAAACTGGTTTCAGAATCCAAGGGAGATAAAGGAAGATGCCTCCTTTTTCATTACATCTTTTATGAACAACTTTTTGGATACTTTCTAGTGCCTTTTACTAATGTTTTGCATTCCTATTCTAACTTCTACCTCCAAAGACAGCTGAAAATTCAAGTTACTTTGAGATCTGCAAAATATCAGCTAACTGAAACTGTATTATGTTCCCCTTACATTGCAACAGATCCTTGTCTTGCATGGAGCCTCTGGACACTACCACTGCAAGTAAATGCTTTGCTGTGCCTTAATTTCCTTTAACAGGTTAGACTTTATTTAAATGAAGAATAATTGATATTTCACAAATCTCAATGTACTCTTTAGAATCTTGCGACTGCACAGTTACTCTTTACTTGATTACATATAATTCCCATTACAAAGCTAGGCAAAGCTTTTGCTGATCGACTAGTTCTGTTTTGATCTTGTGCTCCTTCAGTTTAAGAGCTTCTCTTCCTTTATGATGTAAAATGAATGACACAGACTACTTTTCTTTTCATGTTTTACAAGCTATTACAAGTTCTCAATGCCATTACAAACTGATAAAACATTTAACTTAACAGTAGTGCTTGTTTTAGTATGAAAATATGGATGGTCTTTGCAAAAACAAACCTGATATGCATTCTTGCCTAATACAATCTGCGTTCAAGAATGAAGTGAAATGTTGCACAAAATATGATAGCAGATCTGTTGGAGATGTACTTGTCTCTCTTGTTAATGTTTGGTCCATAATGGAATCTAAAACATCTTTCAGTGGTTAGTATACTATCAACATATCTAACAATAAATCAGCTGTGTAAGTCACTGCTTACCTATCTCCACTAATATTAAAGTGTGCAGTGTCTAATGCAATGAGGTCCTAGTCTATGTCTGAGGTTCTCAAATATTAAAATGATACATAACATATGCATGTCTTTCTTGAAACTGAGGGGTTCTTAAAAGTTAAAACATAATGATCAGTTAACTGACAACAAGGCTAACCTATTTAACAATTTCTTTGCCTCCATTTTCCTGAGCAGGGACCAGATTAGCCCGTCAATCGGGACCCCCTCAGGCCCCGGGGGAGGCGCACCCAGGCCTAGTGTCAGTGAGCATCTAGGTCAGGGAACTTCTGGAGGGACTGGACGTATTTAAATCAGCTGGTCCGGATGACCTTCACCCCAGAGTGCTGAGGAAGTTAGCAGAGGTCACTGCAGGACCCCTGGCACGATTTATGAACACCCGTGGTGCTCTGGTGTGGTGCCAGAGGACTGGAAAAGGGCCAATGTGGTTCCCATTTTCAAAAAAGGGAGGAAGGAGGACCCAGGGAACTATAGGCCAGTTAGTCTTACCTCGATCCTGGGTAAGCTTTTTGAGAAAATTATCCTGGCGCATGTCCACGAGGGGCCAGCAGGGGAGGTTATGCTTAGGGGCAACCAACATGGGTTCATTAGAGGCAGGTTCTGTCAAACCAACCTGCTGGCCTTTTATGACTAGGTCACAAAATCCTTAGACGCAGGGGTAGCAGTGGACGTAGTCTTTCTGGACTTCAGGAAGGCCTTCGACACTGTCTCTCACCCCATTCTCATTAAAAAACTAGGGGACTGTGGTGTCGACACCTACACAGTCAAATGGGTCACTAACAGGCTGGAGGGCCGCACCCAGAGAGTGGTGGTGGATGGGTCATTTTTGACCTGGAGGGATGTGGGCAGTGGGGT